TTTTTCCTACTCCCCAAGAATTTCTTGATTACAAAATACAATATATATAAATATACATATATATATATATATATATATATATATACATAAATTTACAATTTCCTTTTATTGCCCAAGGGCATTTTAAGGTAAGAAGGCTATGCGTTCTTTGCATCTGTGGCCAGAGGCCTTTTATTATACCACTGGGCGTGGAGGGACCGCCCTGTGTGATCTTGTTGATTATGAGTTCGTTATTGTTTTCTTTTAGTTTAATTTGAAATCGGTAGTAAAGATTAGGTATATGTTGGTCGATAATTGGTTGTCTTAAGTCGGTATATAACGTTTTTTACTTTCCTACCTATACTAGGTAAGGAAAGTATTGCAATCGGGTCAAATTCCCGACATGCGGATTTCGACGAATCTATACGTTTCAGAGCACCTTGAGTCCGAAAATCACATTTTTAGCCATTGGTCTGTCTGTCTGTCTGTTACCTGTCGTTTGAAAGGTAATGAAATTCCCTACAAAGCCATATAAAAATCGTTCATTTTGGACAACTATTAACGAAGTTACGGCTATTCAATTTCCAATGTAAGATTTCGCTTTCCTGGTGTCAGAAAGGGGTGAATGAAAGAGAATATAGATGAATGTAAGTGAATCTGTGAATGTAAAACAATCTGTTGCCCACACAATCTTCACTATTTCTTCTACATTTAACAGAAATTAACTACCTTAGGCCGGTTTACATTGCTTTAATTTATCAAATAAATCGTACTCAAATCTTATGTTAGATCAATTTTCAGGAAAATTTATCTAGTTCAATTCTTTTTTGTTTCTTCATGAACGTATGTAAAGATATAAAAACTTTTCTGAAATAGGTAGGAAAGTCGTGTGAGTGGACACACCAGATTTTTTATTTACGTTCCATGGAGCTGTTCTCAGTCTTCAAATTTTGGATTGAAAAGATTATTGCTTTTGTAAGTGCATCTTGTTTTCGTAATATGCCCATTCATTTGGTATTAGTATCATTAAAAAAATAATAATAAAAAGGAGAATAAACTGATTTGGAGTGATTGATAGATATTTTTGACATTCGTCCTAAATGCATACAGGATAGCTTTGTTTAAAAAAAACTCAAGTATCACATAGTACGTTTATATAACAATAATAACAATAACTCTATAACATATATTTTAATATTTTGAGGATATCATAATTTTAAATGTGTGTTACTGAAAGAATAATATATAAGCGTCAATTCCAAATCCTAGAATTCACCAATCAATCTTACATTTTGAATCATTTATTATAACATAGCCAACGATCACAAAGCTTTCAGGCGAACATTCAATCCACAATCTATTTAATGCATCTCGTTATAATCTTAATCTATCTCAAAACGTTAGTATATTCATTGTACTTAACGTAATCCTCCCATCTCCTGCTTGGATTACACCTCAAGCTTATCCCTTCTACGCGTATTTACCCTAACAACTGTGCTAGTCTATCTTAGTCGTCTTGATGTTATTCCAATGGCATTCACTGCGAGCAGGTCACAGGATTCCATAGTCTATAGGCGTCCATGTCATGCTATGAACTATTACATTAATTATGATTCTGGGTAAATCAAGACTCCATTAGAATAATCTGATCATAGTTTTGCTAAAACATTTTTTATCGTCGAACTATCTAGAAGAAAATATATGCAGAGGTACTTGGAAACTTGAGCTTGTCGATAATTCACGCCGATTCCCGAGGCGACAGGACTCTTGTTCAAACTTCACTTGGAAGAGTTCAGTCATGAATCTAAATTAGTTTATTAATATTAATAGCCTCTCCTAGGATCCCTCCACGGTTTTCGCCTATTTTAAATGCTAAGATGTCTGGTTAGTGCATTAGATAAAAATTACATTGAAGCTGCCAATTTTTTATGATGAAACAATTTTAGTACTGCTATATGTGGAATGAATAAGTCAGCACCAATTCCGGAGTGGGGGTGTCCAAAGGTTGGGAAGAAAGGAGCCTGCCATCTTAGAGAAGGTTAAGCGTCATTGTGGTGAGACTAGCTAGTGTGTGATCAAGATAAAGAAAGAAGATTGTGAATCGTTTCTGCCCTCCCAATGTTTTATGTTTATGTTAAGTAACATTGAATAAGGTAGTGAAACATATCAGCACAATGTTAAATTATTTTTAAAGGTAAATATAGTGTTATTTATTTTTGAAGTTCTTTCATATTCACTCCTCTTGCCTCATTAATTCTACCTTCAACTCCTCTCTATAAACATGCCCTTTGGAAAGGAAAGCAATTTTAAGTAATATCTACAAATTAATATTTAGCTTAAGTTCAATAAAAGAAATAGATGAATAGCAATATAACAGTATTTTGAACACCTTTGAGTTGGATTTATTTGAGGTTTCAGCAAGAACAGTAATCCAAATGAATTTCTCTCGCTTTTACAGACTTACAGTGATGTAGGTATAAATTGTGCGATTACTCTTCAGAAATTGGTTGTTTCCATCTTGAATAGATTCTTCTTGGAACGAAGTCCTAGTTGACCTCTTGCTCCTAACATTTGTACGTTAATGTTGCTCCTTTCTCTCTTGCTCCTTCCTGCTAACATTTGTACGTTAATTATGTATTTGAATAAGACGTTCTACCACCACTCGGTCCTCATGTCATAGACCTCTTATCATGTGGATTTCCTATATTACAATTATGCATTAATATTCACACGCTACTTCCCGTTCATTATATTTTGCTTTCCTTTTAGAATTCTCTTTGAGCAGGTGTACTTTGTTCGACTTAGACTGTCCTTTTTAGAGAGATAATGGAGGTATCTTTTTTTTTTCTCGTTCATCAGCAGTACAGTTTCCTTTTACATCAATTTTTGGATATTTTTCTTAAGTAATTTTGTTCTAGAACTTCAATGGCTATTTTGTCAACCATTACTATAATGCAATTTTTACATTTCTAAAAACGTCTTTTGATGAAGGAAATTGTACCATTCCAGTCGGTATGAATGTTTCAAGTGAAAGCCAATACGTGAAGAACAGAGTTCCAAATTACTAAAAAAAAATGTTGAAGGCCGACTAAAAAACATTTCGAAAGAAACAGGAAACCATTCTGAAAAGAAAATAATAATTTTTCAACTGAACAACGATCGAAAGTAAAAACCGATAAAATTAATTAATTAATATTATAATCATTCAATTAGCTTGTTATATTGGCCCTCTCAGTCTCCTGACATACGTTATTGAACACGTTTGCTTTGTTAAAACAAAATTTGGTCAAGAACGAATATGCTATGAAATAAAAGAAAGGACTGCGGGCGTCTAACAAATCGATTTGAGACAATATTTGTTCTTCGTTTTAAGACAGCTTTGTCAAAAGTTGTTCACATAGAATTCCATGTATTAGGGTAAATGCTTTAATTTTTTCTTCAGCGTTCTCGTCAAAGTTTTCTTCGAGCTCCTGGTTCATTCTTCTTTCATATACCCAGCACTAAAAATCCGACATGCACTATCTTTATCCGCATTTAAAACCCTCTTATTCCAATTCCTTTTCACAATTCAATCAGATGCTGGCTAAGTATGTACTATGTAACAAGGTAAAACCTTAAAATTAAAAATATTCTTTATACATTTTTTTTTCTTCCGTTTTGACTATGAAACAGAATTTCGACCACCTTTCACAAATCATTGTGAGTAGGTATAATTTTTTGTGATTTTTCTTACCTTCTATCTTTTCTATTCATAAGATTGTGTTTTTTTAAGTGTATCTTATTTTATTTAAAAGTACTACATTTTTTACTTATCTTCTACACACTGCTCTCTATGTGTGTATATATATATATATATATATATATATATATATATATATATATATATATATATATATATATGTGTGTGTGTGTGTGTGTGTGTGTGTGTTTGCATGTGTGTGTGTGTATATATATATACACTTGTTTTCATTTAAACGTCTCAAGGAATAAAATTGGTTACCTATAAAACTTATTTAGCGTTTCTTTCCAATTTTATTTGGTTATTAGTATTTTTTTGTTTTTTGTACTAATATTATAATATTGTAACCCTTGTACCAATCTGCTTTCCTTTATATACCCTCCAAAACTATGTACATACTCATTTTACTACTTAAATTTTAGTTACTCTTCATTATAATAGGTCATCTCGCCAGATTTATTGCCAATTGGTTTGAACAATATTCTTATTCTTAAGGGACTTAGTCCCAGAATAAAGATGTTTTTTTATTTCTATTTCTATAACATGCTTTCCTTCTGCAATACTTTAATTTTTGCCAGCATTGCGATGTTTTCTTCCTGTTTTTTTTTTTTTTATGATTATGGTTTTTCTCCACAGCCTCCCTTTGATAAGAAAATGATCTGTGCCACATTCAGCTCCTCAATACACCGGAACGTTGTGGAAGTTGATGGGGCTAGTTTGTTTGTACATGAATGAAGTGAATAATAGAGTAAAATTTCGTGTCATTTGTGCCCAATTGGATGTATCAATGTTTTTGTTTTGTAAGACTTTGTTCTGTATTGCATGGTTGGATTCTAAAATATGTTTTCTACGTACTGCGTTTGTATTGTTTTTAACTTCGTCTATTGTTTTAATTAAAGGATTTACAGAAGTGTTTGTTGAGTTGAAAAGTTTTTGATTCTGGGGATAAATGAATTTTTTAACTGCCTGAAATTCCAAATCGTTTAACATGTTGGTTATTCTTGTGTATCTGGGATAATCCTTTATGATTTTCATACACAGATTTTGTACCCTTTCTCATTTTTTATAGTTTAAGTCACATATGGTTTCTGTAAGGGCGTTGTACAGTAATTTCAATATTGGAGCTAAATTGTCACTAATTATTAGAGAGCATTGAATGAAACAACTAATTTGTTTATACTCTGTCAAAACCACGAAATTCCAATATGATTGAATGAACATATGTTAATATTTAGAGTATATATTTGTTTTAATTTATTCAATTTTTGAAATTATTAAATAGATATTATCCCCAACGGAACCTCTTCAACTCGGTAGTTTCTTAGCTTCGAAAAGGAGAGAATGGAAAGCGCTGAAGATTATTTCGTCCCGATCAAGAAGCAAGGGGGAGTGAAGTCGGTGATGATGTTCACGGCTGATGGGAACATCTTGAGTACAGACATGGACCTGGACCAGACGATGATGTACGGGTTCCTGGTGACCCAGCTGTGCGACAAAGCGAGGGCCGGCGTCAAGGACCTGGATCAAGACAACGACCTCCTGAGGCTGAGGATGAGGATGAACGAAAGGGAAATCGTGGCCATCCCGGAGAGGAACTACATCTTGGTCACGGTCCAGGATCCTGCCAAGTCTTCGGCCAACTGATGGACAAGTTCTTTACGAGTACTTACTGTTGGGAATAAATCTCTTGTATACTGTGCTCCAATTTGGTTTATAATTGTATAAAAATTTAAATATCTTTGAAAAAACAATACTTTCTTACTGTATAAAACAAAACAGGCAGACATCTCAGTTTCTATAATATCTAATAGTAAGTTACAGTTAGAGTTACTGTATGTTATATTTCATACATGTAGGATTCAGTTACAGTACAGCAGTGGCTTTTAAAATTCGGTTTGAACTTCAAATAAAATTTAAAAATTTAATTTAAAGTTATGTCTGTCCAAATTTTAAAAAGAGAAATGGAGCGTATTTTTTTTATACTTTGGTATCATTCAAGGTGTTTTAGTTCTAATTATACCATCGATTTTGATTTAGTAAAGCAAATAATCTTAAAATAAACTGCAGCAAATTCAAGGTTGTTTTCTTCCGAGAAAGACCAAATGTAAGAAGTTATCTTTACTCTTACAAGATAATGAGGCTATTATTATTAACGTTACTTACTCTGGCGTACCCTTCAGTTGTACAGAGAAGTTTAGACAGACAGCTTACCATTTTGTAAGTCGTGGTCCAAAGGCTGTTGTTAAGGTAAAGGAGATCTTAGTGAGAGGGGGGAGACTGAGATCTTATGAGCCTTTGCTAAAAGTATTCGAATCCATGGCTGCCGCAGCTGTGTTGCCGGCCTCATAGGTTTCAGATTTGAAAAATCTTGGGAAATTCGAGATACTTAACATCAGATTCCTCAAAACTACTTAAAAAACTTAATAAAAGTAAAAAAAAAAAAGAGCAATCTTGAAGAGAACGCTGGCCAACTGGTGGATAACTCTCCAATCTATGAAGAATGTATTGCCAGAGAAGTATTATAAAAGGATTGTAAATGGTATCGACTGTCATCCTAAAAAAATTTAAGACTCCTCCTTTACAATAAGAATGGAATTCTTTAAAAATGGATCAATATCCTCTTTTCAGAAGACGTAGTGCGCGTAATACCCTCTAGATACAAATCACTGTTATGTTATCTAAGCTCCGTTATCAGAAGTCTCTATAGAATCAGAGCTGGCCTTCAGCTTAGACTCTCCGGCAAATACGAGTTGGGTCTTTATCTTGTAGATGTGTCTTACAGAATCAATCCTAAGGTAGATTGCTCTGTATGCAACTTAGGAAGACCCCGGACGCTTGTTCATATACTTGCCGAGTGTCACATCTACCAGTCTGACCGGCAGCTTGAACAGATTGTTATTTTATTACTTATGACGTATTATTAACGTATATCGTAGAATCCTCAATTAGCTTCTGGGCTAGAATCCTTCTTGTAATTTTCATTATGTCGATTAGTGTTGCCCAAAATCGGTTTTGGGCTTGAACTTTGCAAGACCAAGACCAAGACTGGTAAAAAAAATCGTTAAATGAATAAAAATTAAGGCAGAATGGTTGCTAATACGTGACAAGTTTAGTTGCTATATGTGAAGACTTGGTATACCAATATACTTTTGCATTTAACTCTTTTAATTTTTCCTTCTGGCTTAGTTAGATTTCCCTTATCTGAAAAACAGTAATATCTCTATAGTAATAGACTAATAGGTAACTGCAAGACTGTTGCGCAAGACCAAGAATCGTCTTGTAGATATAATATTATTTCTTTGTTTAATAATGTTTTATTTTAAATCCTATTCTGTAGTATATTTATTACTGTAATGTATTGTATGTTATAAAAGTATGATATAAGTGGTATATTAGTAGTTTGTAAAATGTAAACTAGCCAGATAGCCTGTGATTGTCATAAACAAAATACTGAATTTTTAAAAAAAGTATATATAGTGACACATGAAACCGTGTTGCAATGGCGTTTCTTTTATTGTATTTATGGGGAAAAAATAAAACTACAATTATTTCTGTCAGTAGAAATCAATAAATATTAAATTTAAATATTTATCTTTACAATAAAGTAAAGATTTATAAATTTAAATTCAGAAAGATATTTTGGGAATTTGTCATTGATTTCAGGTGCAATAGAATTCATTTGTCAATTTGTCCATTGCAACAGTTTTGTGACGAGTATATAGTGAGATGAAATACTTTTAAAAGTGTAATAATGTTATAAGTTATTGATGGGAAAAATTATTACCGGACAGAAAGGAACATAGAAGGACGGTAATATATACGTCGTGAACGCAAAAACTAAGATGAAATTGATTTCCTGTGATATAAAGAATTACATAACGATATTGTTCGAAAAGCGCCTTTTGGTGAAGGAAATTGTACCATTCCAGTAGGTATGAATGTTTCAAGTGAAAGTCAATATGTGAAGAACAGAGTTCCAAATTACTAAAAAAAAATGTTGAAGGCCGACTAAAAAACATTTCGAAAGAAACAGGAAACCATTCTGAAAAGAAAATAATAACTTTTCAACTGAACAACGATCGAAAGTAAAAAGCGATAAAATTAATTAATTAATCTTATAATCATTCAATTAGCTTGTTAGATTGGCTCTCTCAGTCTCCTGACATACGTTATTGAACACGTTTGCTTTATTAAAACAAAATTTGGTCAAGAACGAATATGCTATGAAATAAAAGAAAGGACTGCGGGCGTCTAACAAATCGATTTGAGACAATATTTGTTCTTCGTTTTAAGACAGCTTTGTCAAAAGTTGTTCACATAGAATTCCATATATTAGGGTAAATGCTTTAATTTTTTCAATGCATCATAAATGTATTACAATCAGTAAATGTTTTAATTTTTTTCAATGCATCATAAATGTATTACAATCAGCTTTTTTTTAAGTGAAAACTTCTTTGGGAGCAGTTTGAACTTTTTTTTGTGGAGAGTTAATTAGATTGTAAGGATCAATTCACTCGTCAGATTTCCGAAGTGTAACGCTCGAGTAAAGTCGGCATATGTCTCTATTTTTCATAATTATCCCTCTTTTTACATTAGTATCTATGCATAGAAATGTTTTTGCATATGGATCGAAATATCTCAAAAACTTAAAATCGGACCTGCATATTGTCAACGAGAGGAATGTTCATCTTTTCATCCTTTCTGTAATACGCTATTACTCAAAATTGTATCTTAACGCGACGCCGTGTTAGAGAGGGGAAAAGGAAAAAAATATATAATGTCGAAAGCCGAATGATAACGATTATTATGGAAGATTTGAATTAAAATATCTCAGAAACTAAAAATCTGATCTGCATATTATGAGCGAGGGAAATGTTCAGCATCTCATCCTCTTTATAATGAGCTATTATTTAGAATTTATGTTTCATATTATTAATCCCGTCTTGTTGATATTTTCACTTCTATCATGTGTTCTAATGATGAGGATACCATAGTTGGTGTGGTTTTTTTAAATTTATTTTTAATAATTAAATATAAGTCTCAATACAATTATTTTGTCACTATACAAACATTTTTTTTAAATACATATATTTATTGTTTTTACTTCACCTTAACTCATGGTTAAGCATATCGTCTGATATTTGTCCATCCTTTCATCTTATGTGATTGCAGTACCTCACATTAAATTAGCAGTTACTAGCACCCCCGCAGCCTCTTACATCCAAAGACCTCTCCATTAACGACTGACCTGTTAGAACTGCTCCCGATGAAACAACAGGTGGTTGCGGTCCTGAGGTTATGAGCTCGGATATTTTAGTTCGTATCGCATCTGTGGTCGCTCTTAATTAGTCTATCACTAGGCTTTATTATTTTGTGCCACAGCAGGGTCGATCCATGGCTCATGAAAAATTAATAGTCATCAGTCGGATTCGAACTTGGCATCTTGAGCTATGGAAGTCAATGCTCACCCACTTATTGTTGACTTTTGAAATTTTGACATTATATTAAGGTTTGCTTGACTTCAAACATAGGCTTTAAATGACAAAAAAATATTGAGTAGAACCAAAGTTATGAATTCTTGAGTAATTTGTCTAGAGATCTCGGTTAATTTTGATAATAAAAGTTAATAATAATCGTATGTTTATAGGTCAAAGATCATCGATATAAATAAAATAAAGGTTTTGTCTGTAAATTGAATAGAATCAACCTGTTGCATGATATCTTTCCGTTTCATACATTACAGACACCAAATTCACTTTTTAATAAAATTTTTGTAGTCTCAACTGCAATAAACAGCAAATTATATTTGCACAGATTCGGAATCTACTCTTAGAGCTATTGAAAATTCATTTTCAACTAATTCATTAGTCACAGATACAGTCAGGCATATACAAACATTGGAGGGTGTATGATGTAAAATACAATTTTTGTGGTTACCGAGTCACTCAGATATTAGAGGTAATGAGCTAGCTGAAATCATGGCAAAACAAGCTATCACGGAAGGAACTCCAGTAATGGATGGTTTTCCAAAAGAAGTCATAGCTTTGGTGAAGAGAAAGGCTCTGGAAAAATGACAGAGTCTCTGGCATGTGTTAAGAGACAATAAGTTGAGAGTGATCGAGCCTTCTGTAGTTCCCAATCGAGAGGACCTTCAGTTAAAAAGAAGAGAAGAAATAATACTGACAAGGCTCCGAATCGGCCACTCACGGCTAACCCATGAGTACCTGATGAGAAAGGGGACGCCCCCTCAATGTCTGCTGCGGGGTCAATTTAACAGTCAGGCACATTTTGACCGAGTGTAATGCATATGAAACACAACGGAATGAAGTTAAATTGGAGAATGGCATAACCGAAATTTTGAAAAAAAAAAACAACACCAAATTGGCAAAAAAAACTGTTTAAATTTCTAAAAATAATGTACCTATACAACAAAATTTTAATTTTGCTGACTCTTTTTTTTTCTTTTGTTTTAAATATTTTGTGTTTTCAATTCATTGTTAAATTTAATTTAATTTCATGTAACATAAATATTTTGTAAGGGCTAAAAGAGTTTGAGGAGTCCCCTTCCATTGTTTTTAATATATATATATATATATATATATATATATATATATATATATATATATATATATATATATATATATATATATATGAATAAAATTTTTAACTGTCTGGATTTTCCAACGAAATTTTATCGGGGGTAAGCTCGGCAATGGCTAATGGTAGACTTTAGAAATGTTGACATTATATTTAGGTTTATATAGACTTTAAATGAAAACAAAATATTGAGTAATTTGTCTAGAGATCCCGGTTAGGCAGTTACTTACTTCGATCCCCATCCCAACCTACTCTACCGGGAGCTATATTTAAAAGTTGTACTATTCAACTGACGGAAAAATTATCACAACTTAACGGGAAAAATTCAGGATACCGAATATCTGTAACCCGTTATCGCTTAAAATGGGTAAAACACACTCATTTTTCAACTTTGTCCGGTCTTCCCTTTCAAGGTGTCATTCGATTCAACTTCCCGAGCGTAACAAATGTTGTCGTGTACACTTTTAGGATTAACCGGAAACCAGGAAAAAAAAACTCCCAAAAATTTTGCCCCGCCCGCCACAATATTCAGATCAACTTCTAATTTTGCAGGGATGTGGATGACTCAATGTCCAATGTTATTTTGGTTATTTTGCCAGCGATAATCTCAGCAGAGCTTAAAGAAGTGGAGAGACTTCGCTTCATCATATATGAAAATTAAATACTTAACGAATTTTAATGGATCGGTGGCGGTCGGTTTAATTGTGTGGTACTTAAACAAGTAGTCGAATAACAAAGATTTTGTTATGACTATTGCGAAATCTTGTCTTCCATAAAAAATTTCAAAACAACCCTCCTCCCGCCCAATTTTATGAAACTGAATTTGGACTCTCTCCCCCATTATTCAAAATCCATCTCAAAAAAAGATTCTCAAATATTAACTATACACCCGTCAACGACGGGTCCATCAGCTAGTTTTAAAATATTTTCAAAAAATACTTCATAATATTATATACCTACGTTTAAAAAATTAAATAAATCATTAATTGAATGAGGTATGTTCTTGTGATTACTAATATCACATACTTTTTTATTTTCACTTATCCATATATGAAATAATGCCGATTTTTTTTAAAGGCTTTAAATTTTTTTAAAATTAAATCGCTTCTTATTTTGATGAATTTTCCATCTGAAATCAACCAATGCAGTTTGTGAAAAAAAGTAGGAAATGTGAGAAATCTCGCTAAAAGAGCTGTTCATTCATTTAGAGCCTCTGTGTAATAAATTAGGTTATTCTGTGAGCATCTATGTGTACATCCTATCTCATAAACAAATAGTCGTACAAAATTGAAATTACGTGCTTAAAGTTGGTAAACAGCAACTTTTCCGCCAAAATTTCCTGACGCGATGTGTGTTTATTCACTTTCATAATTGATTACTTGTGTGACAAACAAGTACATCAATGTTTAGCTGAAATTATTTATAATAAGAATTTTCGATATAGTAAATAATAGGAATATTATAATAAGATATTGACTATGTGGACGATACGTCCCGAGTCCTTCCTCTATTCGTCCCTTTTAAGGATGGAATTACTCTAAGAATGAATTTTTCATTAGTGTCAATTAAATGAAACCATAAAGGGAAGAAGTAAGAGATGGGGCGTGAGTTAGGGAGGTCTAAGTAGGGCTGTAGGGCTCCTCTGTTTGTTCAAACTCCACTGAGAGCCACTCGCCCTCTTACTACACTCACCTACTCCTCCTCGGCTATCAGCTTCCTCACACTTATTTTTGTCTATATGAAGCTATTTTCATTGGAAGAAGGAACTACTATCTCCCTTCATTTTGTTCTTAAATTATATTATGGTATTAAAAACCATGCTTCGAAATAAATAACTTATTTAATTTACCATTATATAAAGTGTTATTATATGCGACTATTTGAATAAAGTTTCGGAATATGGCCCGCTTCCTGTTTCAAATTCAGCACCTTTTTCTGACTTCCTGAGCGAGATATATATATATATATATATCGTTCAGTTTTATATATATATATAACGCTCAAACTTATGCGATGAATAAAATAATTTAAAAAAAGGATGAGAAACAAATTAAACGTCTTCAGAAACAATACTTTTTTATTTGTAAAATAATCCTTCTGATATACATGTAAGGTTTTGTTTACATTCTAGAATGGTATTAAGGCTGATACTGCCAGACTCCTGTCCTTATCTTATATATATATATATATATATATATATATATATATATATTATATATATATATATATATATATATATATATATATATATATATATATATATATATATATATATACGGTGGCTCTTGATGCTGGGGAGCCAAATCTGGATTTTAATTGGTTCCCACAACTTAAAAATATAGCCAACGACTTCCTGTCCTACAGTTTTCTTTAACAATTCTCCACTTATCCCTGTTGAGCAAATCCGATACCTAGGACTCCACCTGGACAAACGACTAACTTGGAATCCTCATACTAGACTGAAACGACAAGAAACCGCTCGACGTTTCCGATTACTTCAGCACTTACTAGACAAACGCTCTAAACTTCCCATTAATTACAAAAGACTTATATACTTGACTATAATAAGACCTATTTGGACTTACGGAGTTGAGCTATGGGGCTCCACTAAACTATCGAATTCCTCTCGCATCCAATCCTTACAATCCAAAATCCTTCGTAAAATCCTCAATGCTCCTTACTTTGTCACTAATAAAATTATCCATAAAGATCTTAATGTTCCTTATGTTTCAGATCTGGCCCAATCCAGATACCTATCCTTCCATAATAAACTTCAGAATCATCCCAACCCTCTCGTTTCTAACCTTGCTTCCTCTTCAATTCCTGATAACCCTCCGAGGCGTCTGAAAAGAAGATGGTCCCGTGATCTCCTAATATAGTCATATCATTAGAGTGCTACCATTGGGTAGTTACTCAGCAAGTGTATTCATGTCATTATAGCAATTATGTCCAAATTTACTTGATGTATTTATGTAATACAGTTGTAAATGTCATAAAGAAATAAAAAAAAAAAAAAAAAAATATAGCCGCTTCTAATTTTGTTGAACAATATTTTAATCGTTTTTCTGATTCAGGAATACTTTTTTTTTTTTTTTTAACTTTTATTATGATATTTACAGCTGTATTAGTATGAATACATCAAGTAAATGTGTACATAGGAATATTATCACATGAAACACGCTTGTTGAGAAACCGCCCATTGGTAACACTCTAATAATTTGTCTACATGAGGAGATCACGAGGCCATCTCCTTTTCAGACGCCTCGGAGGGTTATCAGGAATCGAATAGGAAGCAAGGTTAGAGACAAGAGGATTCGGATGGTTATGAAGTTTATTATGGAAGGATAGGTATCTGGATTTGGCCAAATCGGAAACATATAGAACATTGAGGTCATTATGGATTATTTTATTTGTGACAAAGTAAGGAACATTGAGGATTTTACGAAGGATTTTGGATTGAGGAATACTTTTTAGAAACAGAAATGCTATTTTAACAACTTTATCCAACAATCTATACTCCAGAGACATTGAACGTGCAATTGAATGTACAGTTGAAATTACTGCCCAATATATCGACGTTTTTGTGGTTACAATTGCTCAGAACCCGAAAATTATTTTCTCTAAGAAAGTTACGGACGGCAAGTCGTTTAAGAGTATCGGTTAGTGACCATCTAAAATTGCTCTATGGGAACATTACATACGTTACAAATACAAACGAAGTCTGCAAGTGGTGCGGCCAACTTATCAATAAAGTGTTTGTTTCTGGAGACACATAGAAGGAAATACTTACATACACATATCATTTATCACTGGAGTGTGTTGGATATAAAAAATCTTGACCAGTTGAACAAAATATTTTATTTTATTTTAAGTGTTTGTGACTATCACTACAAGTACAAACCCTCAGATTTGGGTCAGGCATGCGTTCATATGTCCGCACGGGGGGAGGGGCTTTCGGACTGAAGCCTTCCCCAAAATGATAAAATATAACCATGTTTTATCGAAAAAAATATTAAAAAATGATCTCTTAAAGTATTATTGGTCGTGTAATTACATTTAAGAGGGCTTTAGGAATCGCTTAAGCACCATTTCATATAGGTAGTTAGTTTCTTTCTTTTTTTCCAAGGTAATTATCGTTATTTTTATGAGAAAAAAAACATTCGGGCTGAAGCCCCCACAAAAATAAATCCTGGATCCGCTAGTGTATGTCCGTGGGCGTACGTGTATTTATTCACGATTTGGGTGCCTTTTAAATATTATCATTATTTGTATCTACATTTGCGTTTGCAATTCTAAGATCTCTGCTATTTATCTCTGCTGCTGTTTTGCTTAGTTGTGTTTTGTACAGTAAATTTTCTTTAGTATGCATGTATTTTTATTCATTTATGATATCTCATTTATGATATTTACTATATAAAAATATTTATAAATAGTAGAAATGTTTGGAATATATAAAATATATGAATATTTAAAATATTTGAAATAATAAAAATATTTTTGTATTTGTCTTCTTATACTGTATTTATAAAATATATGAATATTTAAAATATTTGAAATAATAAAAATATTTTTGTATTTGTCTTCTTATACTGTATTTATTTACTTATTTTCTTCTATTATATTAATTATAAAAATAAACCCTACTAACGCGAAATGGGCCAGACTACATTCCATATATAAATATACATATGCAATATTTTGATATTTTTCTTATTGTTATATACGCATGTTTTAAGTTTGTTCTAGTTATTCCTATTTATATTACTTCGCAATTTTTACACGGTATATTATAAATTAAATTTCTTTCGTTTTCGGATGTCGGGTCTTTAATCTCATATTGGGCTCATGGGTTTTTGGGCAAAATTTAAATCATCTAACCTTTCAAGGTTAGATGTATTATAGATCACCAAAAGCTTCTCTAATTTTAAGATGTAAAATAAGATTATTTATAAAGTGACTGTCATGGGTAAACAATCTGAGTATCGAAGAATTTAAAACTGTATAATTGTAACCTAATAATGATATTTAATTTTATATCAGCAGAAGTTTACTCGACATTGATTTGATTTTTTAATATAAATTACCATATTTAGATGATGAGGACATATACAGTTTTTATAGAATATATTATTATAATGTCTGTATATTTTTGTTTCAGAACATGGATACCCTCTCGGTTCCAGAACTGAGCGAGCTGAGGGAGCGATATGTATATAACATCTCCCCATGGCCGGTACCTGCAAAGAAGGGATTGAGAATATTTTATCCCCATCAGCACTCAGGTCTGAATCATTTTATACACATATAAATAAGTAAATGTGTGGGTGTGTATGACATGTTTAGGTTGTAGATTTAAAAAATCGGCTCATGAAATTTGTAGGCCAGTATAACTATTTGATTGTGCTCTTCATTATAACGTGAAAATTAGCTTGTTGTGTACAAAGCCCGGCTCAGGGCATTTTGAACAGATCTGCACCATCTCCCACTTAGTCTTCCTCATCTTTTTCCTTGGGGATTCCATTGCAAATCCTCTTTCTAGGTGGCACTATCTGTTTTTTTTTTAAGTGTATCCTCTACATTTATATATCTTTTTCTTTATTTCGAGAGGGACAGGAAGCTGCTCTGTGGTATTCCAGATCTTTTCGTTAAAGATCCTCTCAAGCCAATTAATTCCCATCGATTTAGCAGTTTATATAGGTCTTTAGGGTTCGAGTAACGTTTTCAGTCACCTTCCATGTTTCACTGCCGTAAAGCTGGACCGATTTTACGTTGCTGTTATACAGCCTCATTTTTTTTTTTATAATTACTTGTTCTTCCATTCTGAGTAAAGTTGAACGAACAGTCCATTTTTTTTTTTTTTTTTTTTTTATTCGGCTTTTAGCATCTTCCAACGAACACCTTTAGTTGGTGATCGCACTTTCCTAGTAGATGAATGATCCATCGATGGATCAACCCACTTTACGGTATTTTCCCTCAGAACAAGAGGATTCTGAAATCGCTCATTTATTCTCATTTTCTTTAGTTAGTGAATTATAAAGTAAAAAGAAAAACAATACCATCCACATGTGTGACACACATGAGTTCTTTAATACACATATTCATCTCACTTAAAAATTATCACTTTCCCACAAATTTATATTAGGCAATGCCCTACGTGATATTTTTTTTTTTTTTTTTTTTTGGCGATGGAATTTTCTATACGTGATTCGTGATACTTCATGTACATAGAAATCACAAAAGGTAAGGGATATTTCTTTAGTAGTCGGACAAATAATTCAGAAGCCATGCAAGACACATATAGCATTAATACCTTGACCTCTCTCTCATACATTAATAAAACTGCTAACCAACCCTACATAAATTTCCAACAAGGACTTACATACACCACGATCCCGCCATCACGAGAATCCGCTTCCGCTTTGAAGTCTGCTAATCTTCTCTAAATCCTGTGAAGATCTCTGAAGTATTAATTTTTTAGGAAAACTATATTTTCTAATTATGAAAAATCAGACTTTAGATAAAATATTATAAATATGGCGTTGTTTTTTAATCTTGGGATACCGATTAATATTTACGTCATGAAGTCATTATGTAGCGTTGCGTCGGAGATAATATCCTTGTATGTAAGTCACGCGTGGGTCGTGACATGATTTATATTGATAATCTCCAGCTTACATGTGATGCCTGGATTATCAATTTTAATTAGAATTTGCAGAGTGATCCTAATAAGGTTTAATTATTTCTTAATGAAGGTTAACCCCATCCCTAATACATTAAAGTTATCTTATTTCATCTAAATATAGAAGATAACATATTATCATCATAAATGATACAATTGAGGCAATCAAAAAGAGTATCCCGTGTCCTACGAGGGGAGTTTACGGAATTGGGGTCCCTGATTTCAATGAAATCTTTTTTGGTGAAACTATGTCGTAAAATATTGAACTGATGCTCTAGGAGTCATATAAATCGAAAAATTGATATTTTTTGGAGGACATTCTTGCCTAGTCTGGACTCTTGGCGAGATTTTGTCCCGAACCACAAAAATGGTTAGTAATAACCACAAAAAAATCCGTAGTCCACCTTTTTTTTTCGATTTTATGATCATATTATCCATCGATGAGATGAAGCTATTTACTAATTTTCAAATGAATGTTGATAATTTGATAAAAAGTTATTAAAAAACTTTATTAACTACTTTTCTTAAATATATTGCAGTTTCTAAATATTCGTTGCTTAAGAAACTGTTTCTATCCTGTGAAAGGGGAAGAAAATAAAAAAAGAAAAAATGCGTTTGCTTCTTTGCCAGCTGAAGTGCTGACTCGAGACAATGCTGAGTGTCCTTTGTACTTTGGAAGCCACATCGACCACTTCGTCAAGTCGTATCTTTTTCAAGTCAAGATGCTGCTCACATCTGATCGACTGACCTCTAAGGAAACATCTTCCACTGCCCAAGTTTCATTCATATTTGAAATGAAAATTATTTTTTTTATTATCCTGGGTCTGTTGTCGTCTCTTTTGGACAAATCATAGATACAGAAAAAATGCCTATGTGGCTATTCATTAAATATTTACAAATCTCACTAAAATTAAAATATTAGAAGAAGAAAAAAAATAATAACATACTGATATATATAAACCAAACACGGAAAAATAAAATAACATAAGTAATCAAAATCATTTCTGAGAAAATTTAAAAAGTTCTCTGATGTACATTTCGAGATCAATCGGGTTGGGAAAGGAGTAGGTGTTTAAATAGAAGAGATTTAAATGAGGAAACTGATTGTGCATGTTGGATATCGGAAGGGATGATTTTCCAGAAGGATACAGCTTGAATTACAAATGATTTGGCAAACACAGCAGTTCGGTGAGGAGGTAAATAGAAGTCGGAAGTATGGGATCTAGTGGGACGGGATTGAATAGAATATTTAAATGTAGGCTGTGAAAAACATAGGAAGGTTGCTGAGTTCTGATGGCTTGGTATAGAAAGGTAGCAAGGAAGTACAGACAGCGGTTGGATGGATAGAGCCACTTCAATTTGGTGTAATATTGGGTTATATGCGTATCTCATGAGATTCCGAAAACAAAACGTATTGCGCAATTCATTAGGCGTTTAGGTTTTGTCTCGAATTCTCCCGTGAGTCCGTCGTACACCAGACGGCCTTCGTCGAAGTGGGGGAACACAAGACAGAAAACTAAGAGTTGACGGGATTTATATGGAAGGAGATAGCGGAGACGGTTAAACTGTTTCAGGGTAGAGATAGTACGACGGGGAATTTGGAAGATGTGAGTTTCCCAGGAGAGGGTTAGATCAAAGGTAACACCAAGGTCTTTTACGGAAGTGTGGAATAAGATAGGTGAGTTGTTCATAAAAAGATTGGGGAGTGTCTGTAAGGATTCGAGGAGTGAAGGAAATCCGAACAGGATGGATTTCGTCTTCTTGGCATTTAGAGTAATCGTATTGTGGTTTGCCCAAGCAAAAATTCCGTTTATATCTGTCTATAATTTTTGGATGTCCTCAGAGGATTCGGTCGGATTGAAGGAGAAGTAAATCTGGACGTAGTCGGAATACATATGGTATTGACAGTGTAGAATAGAGGATGGGAGATCATTAGATTCATTAATATAGATGAAAAAAGGGGTGGGAGGATAAGAAGGAGCCTTGTGAGACACCTCTGGACAAGGGTAAAGACTCTGATGTTGGGTTATTGGGGGACTACAACATACTGGGAGCGACCGGCAAAGAAGGATTGAAACCAATTTAGGGCACTAGTAGAAAACGTAATATCATATTTTGATAAGAATTGGTTCAACATTTGACTGATTTAAATCTCTCATCGATTCACGTATCCTTACTACAGCATATTCTTCAGATCGCCTTACTACGTAATATTCAGCCATTGAGCATTAAATTTCTTCAAAATCCCATATCTGGCAAAAATCTAGTTCTCAAATTAGCAAAGTCTAAAAATATCCTAATTTTCAAATTAGATTGAGAGTTTAATGTACTCCTTCTTTCGCTTCTCTATTTTACCACTCAAGCGTAGGGGAGTGCATAGCCACGAAACCCATTCCTCTCTGTTCGTTGATAGATTCCTGCCCTGATGGAGAACTGTGTCTCTTTTTTGCAGAGTATTTAGATGCAACGCAGGTATGACATTCTTCTCTGATCTAACATGAAGTCTTCTCCCATCCTGAACGTACTCCGTCGTATTCAATGGGTGCCTATGTTCCTCCATCCTAACCACATGGCTGAACGTCGTTGCGAACACGGCATCTCTCAGCGTTAATATCTGTTCTTTCAAGAAATCGCATTTCAGTAGTAGGGACTCTGTCCTCCTACCTGTCTATCTATACCCAGCTTTCAGACCCGTACAAATGTATTGGCACATACACAGACTTAAATTCATCTACCTCTCGCTTTCCTACAATAGTGTTGCAAATCTGGTAGTAGACTTCGTTCGCCTCGTTTATTCTATTAAATACTTCAGAGTATACTTTCCCAGACCTGTCTAAGACTGTTCTTAGGTAGATGAAGTTCCTGACCACTTCCGATTCCTCTCCATTGCAGTGTACATGTATATCTTCAATCTGCCATCGTCTTGTAACACCTTTCTTTTGCTAGTATCGATTTCCATCAACCGAATCAGAGACAAGAACAACCAACATCATCGGCATATATGAGAAGGTGAATAACCACCGGTCAAAAATTCCTTATCCTCTGGAACATCTTCGGTTCTTCTTTTACAGATGGCCCCCACTTTATCTATATAAATTAGAAATTTAAAGTACCAATGAAGCAAAAACAAAAACTTAATACCAATTAGCTATGCAGAGTTAGTGCTTGATTCCCCTTGGTAATAAAAGTGTACTGCAATTAAACAAATAACATTTATATTTTTTATTTTATCTTTCTCATTCCCTATTCCATGAGTGAGATACCGTTTTATTATTAAAGGCCACTGTAAGATTTGGCTGTTCAAATGAAGACCGTAGTATTTTTTTTTATGTATCTGTTCCTAATTTTATTTATCACTAAATACACACACCCATATATACACACACATATATTCAACTTAATTCTATTAATTTTCAAATTTTCCTAACCTTTGAACAACCGTAGCTGTTGTTGTGTAGCGGTTGTTCCAAGAGAGGTTCTGATTAAAGATCATTCCGAGGTTTTTGACTGTTGGAAAGAAATGGATGGGACAGTTATTGAGGTAAAGAAAAAGAAAGAAAGAAAGCGAACTAATGAGGTGCTTGGAGCCGATGAGGTTTGCCT